CTCAGCCCTTTGCTGTGGTGTCGCCCCCCGCCCGCGCCGAAGCATTCTGCCCCCACCCCCGCGTGCTTCCTCCCCCGTCAGCGTTCTCCATGCCGGCCATATCCCCCCTCGGCATATCGGCCATATCTCCCCGTTCAGCACGGTGTGTGCTCCCCCCGCTGCCCCGTTCATCTCCCGCCGTGTCCCCTCTCTCCCGGGCGGGCCCCGCGCCGCTGGAGGCGGTGTTGAGCCTTCCCTCCCCGGCTCCGGGGGAGCGGAGCGGCCCGAGCCCACGAGCCCCCGGCGGCGGCGATCGCGGCTCGGGAACCGCAGCCCGGCAACAAATCCGCCTTTGCTGCGGATTTTTCACCCACCGCCCGAYGGATGTAAATGGAGCAAATTAACATGGAAAGCCCGGCATTGCCCCCCGCCCGTTCCCCCGAGCGCTCAGCTGTACCGTAACACACGGCAAAGCCAGCAGCCGGGGTCACCGGGGGATTCATCCCGCACGGGAAGGGACCAAGCTTTCCTCCCACCCCGGGCACCAGGAATAGAACCATGGAATCGCTRATAATGGGTCCATGCAAGCGTTAATAGAGCAAACGCAGAGAATGTTCAATATTCCCAGCCCTATTAATTAGGTTATTCCAAGTTAACCTGAGGCAGGTGAGTTGTCAGTTCAACTTTATCATCCCAGATTCTGCCAAGCTTGAGGTTAAAACCGCCCAGGGCAAGCACTGAGTCACACTGTGGGGCTGGAGAGAGCTTTCACCCTTTGGAATGTGAAACCCAGCTGGTTTCACACCTGAGAAAACACAAAATGCTGCTGCCTGGGATTTGGTTTGGGCATCACACATCTCTGTATCCCCACCTCCCCATGCCACTCTCTCCCATGATGACAAGCCTTTCTGCTCCACAGCCATACCAACATCGCTCTTTCCTGCTCAACAAGCAGAGTTTTGAGCCACCATAACCATCACGATTCCACAACCAAGCCAGCTTCATCCCAGTTTGTGAGAAAACAGTTGTCTTATGCTGGGACCCCAAATTCCCTCTCTCCAGGAGGACTCCAGCCCCACTAAACACGGCTGAGAATCTCCACTGGCTGCTGTGCCAAACCACAGCCAGGGATGCTGTGTGTCTGTCCCTAATTACACCACGTAGCCCCCCTGCACCATATCACACATTGCGACCCGCTGCGGCTCAGACATCAATTGAGAGACAACCCATATTAACTAAACAGGTTTATAATAATTCAAGTATTCCGAGGGTGAGGACAATAAGTAGTAGGAAATACAATTTGCATAATAAATATCAATATCACAACAGCTAAAGCAAACCATGACAAATTATCTGCTGGTAAATGGCCAGGAGATTATAGAATGCAAATTGCAAATCCTGAACTCTAGGAAATGACTTCCCTAACCTCYCACGTCTCGTTCAGCAGACGGAGAGGGACCCAGGCTGGACTCAAACTGCCGATGCTCCTGCTGGAGACGTCTTAGTGCCTTCCATTATGCATCAACTTTAATTTCAAGAGGAAAGTGATTTCCTCTGTCCTGGAAGCTTAGCCTCAGATTATTTGTCACAGAGTGTTTAGCAGTGACGCCGTTGCAGCGCGAGGCCCGTTGGCAGTGATTGAAAGCTGTATTAAATCAAATCACCGGCAGCCAGGGACAGCAGCCGGGATGGCAGCGGGAGAGAGGGCACAGGGCTGGGGCAGGAAGGATCACAAAGACTGACCCAACCCACGGGCACAGGGCTGGGGCAGCAAGGACCACAAACACTGACCCAACCCACGGGCACAGAGATGGGAGAGCAAGGATCACAGAGACTGACCCGACCCACGGGCATGGGAATGGGGCAGCAAGGATCACAAACAATGACCCGATCTACGGGCACGGTGGGGGTAATTGAGGGTGTTASGGGACGAGGTCACTCCCTGAGTCCTGCTGGCCAAGTGGCTGCTCACTCCTGAGGCTCACTCTTGCCAGGGATGTTGGAAAACTCTGTGCCAACCGTGCAGCAAGGCATGAGGCTGCAGGGAAAACCCAAGGGCCAGCAATGCCACTCCAGAGCTTTGCATCAGGGTGAGGGGAGCAGTGACAGGAGAGCCCCCAGGACTGTGCTCTGTGCTGCCAGCAGTGAGGGCTGAAGTGCTGCAGCCTCTGAAATCCTGTCCCCAGGCCACCAGCTGCAGCTCTAGAGATGCCCACACCAAAAGTGGGGCTTCCTTGCCTTGGCATGGGTCAAGAGCGGCAGGAATTCCTCCTGGGAGCCTCACCCGTGCCACTTGGAGACCCTTCCCATGTGTCATTCTGGCTCCCCCCTCTGTGGTTTAGCACATCTCAAAGACCAGATGGTGTTTTTGCATTTTAAACCAAATAAGCCATTGTTTGTTAATTCAGCTTTTAAATCAGAGCAGAAATGAACTTAAAAATGAGAATTCCAATCTGTGGTATAATTCCAGAGASAGAGCCAAGCCCCACAGTTTCAAACACTTGGAATGGCAGGAGAAGGATAAAGGCAATTTGTGCTCTACCCCCTGTGACACAGCAGAGGACAGGGACTCGGACATGCTTGGATGGCATTGGGAAGCAGGATGAAGCCTTAGATCCATGGATGAGCAGCAGTTGCTGTCAGCACATCAGGCCAGGAACTGGAGCTATCCCAGTGCAAACTGGTGCAGTCCTGCCACTGCCACCACTGGGAACGGTGTTAGGGGACACAGCACCATCCAAAGGGTGGCTAATTACAAATAACTGACACTAATTACATCCACTGCAGAAGAAGTCACGGTAGAAGCTGTTTTCAGATGGGTTTTCAAAACCAAGGATCAATTAATTCCCTTAGTTTCACAGCGGACAAAGGGMGCCAAGATGCTGTTCCCTACATCCCTGAGAGAATGGAAAAAGAACCCAAAGCCACCCAAGCTTTCCCCCCTAAAAAAGGGGGATCCCACAGAACTCGTCCAGGAGTTGCCATTCCCATGTGGCTCTTTCAGCCTCACATTTMAGGTGCTGCAGASACCGCGACCAAACCTCTTCCCCCAYGCCCGGCAGTGTTTGTTCTCTCCCCATTTTCTGTCAAGAGAAATAAAACAGTTGTCGATCTCGGGGAAAGCGCCGGCTCTGAAATTTTCAAAGAGCCACGTGGAACTTTAGCCACACAATTCACATGAAAGCGGCGCGGGGCTAAATCCCGTGTAACTCTTTGAAAATGGAGGAGTTTTGTCAAAAGGAGTCTGCAGAAGAAATAATCAAGTTATRGCATTTCGGATTTAATGGCTCATCTGAAAGGCATCTCAGCGCTTGCTGGGTGTGCCACGTCCCCTCCTCTGGTGGGACCCCCTGATGGGACCACAGAGCATCTCCTCGTCCCTGTCCCCAGCCTGGGCAGTCCAGAGATGCCWCTTTAAAGATCAGGTAAAAGTGCAAAGCCCAATTTCCAGTCTTTCATGTGCTGTGACAAAGTTGTCATCGGCCACGCTCTCCCTCTATAAATTCAGGGTTTAGTTACAGCACAAATTGCTCCCAATATATTTTATTTATCTGCCTTCCTCTGCAATGAGCAACGAATTTGTTCGAAGTTTCCAGAGGTAAAAGGGAAGCTGAAGCTCAGAGCTGTGCCAAGGACAGAGGGAATGTGGGGTTGTTCAGCTCCATCAGGGCTGGGAGCTCTGTGGGGTCAGTGCCCAGTTCTATCACCAAAGCAATGGTGTCACCACTGTGCCACCACACTAATGCTGGTCACCACTGCAATCACCACTTTTCATGCAGAATTTATACCATTTTCCCCAACACCCACTGGGTATTCCCATTAGTCCCTTTCCTGCAGGTATGGGGKTCTGKTTTTAAATTTTCATTTTTGTTTCTRGAGCKAAAAGATTCCATTTAATTATTTTTGAGCCACGAGTGTGACAATAAAACGCAAAAGTCTTTTGATTTGGGAGCAATCCTATTGAGGATCTGAGGGGCTGTCATCAGTGCAGCATCAGTCTTCATTATCTGATTCTTTTTTCAATTGGCTGAGCTTTACAGAGCACACGGCTCTTTCAACAGGATGATAAAGGGGTATTTGAAATAAACAGAGAGAGTCCCCAGCCAGCGAGTACCTTGGATTGCTGTGGACTGTGACTTAATGCTAACTCCTGTGAACTCCGGCTTTTTATCTTTTAATAAAAAAGCCATACAGATGGGATTCTTTGCTCAACTAAAACCTTTGTTAAAAAAAAAAAAAAAATCCAAACCCTAAGGAACAACAGACACTAAAAGTCCTCCCTGAGCAAAGTCTCTTGCATGTATTTATTCAAGATCTCCTGAAAAAAAGAACATTTCCATGGCACTGCTGGCTGATGTGTTGCTGTCCCTGCCCCAAAGAGGAGCGGGTTGGCTCCAGCCCTGCTCACACCGAGCTGGGGTGAGACACCCTGCTCTGATTCACCCCAGCACGGGCCAGGGGTGTTTCCACCCTGGGGCACCTGAGTTTACCCAAAATCTCATTTTTGCCCCAGACCCAGCCTCGCCCGTTGGCAAAGGAGCTGCTACGACTGTGTCATTTAGTGCCTGATAAAATGTAGGCACCAAACACTCACTTTACTCTCATCTCCAACAAGCACAGCCAGAAAGGTTAAAGCTCCCCAGTCTGCTGAAACAAGATGAAATATTTTCAGATGGTGTTAAAGAAACCAGATGATTCCCCAGCGTAAGRGTAAAGCAGGGCCAATGCAGCCAGCCTGGCTCCTCTGCCAGCCTAACCTTTTTACTGCTGGAGAACGAGGAGTAAGCTATAACTCAGATTTTTTTTTTTCATTTTTTTTTTTTTAAACACGGATCTAATTGAGAAAGGAAAGGGACAAATCATTTTACGCTCTTGCATCATCCTTCCTGCAGATGAGTCTCTAATGCACCCGCGCCATAAAACGCAGGAACTGTGCCCTCTGCATGTTGTTGTGACAAATTTCAAATCAAGAGGGTGCTTGAATGGGATTTATTACAATTGGAAGACAAGAAATGGTAATCTTTATGAGCCAATGACACAGAGCCTTATAATAGGAGAATGAAGTATCATTTTAAATGTAAAGCAAATTAGATTACTGGGGTCAAACCCTTCTACAGAGACATCATGTCTTCAGAG